TTTTTTTTTTTTTTTTTTTCGGAGCTTCATTCATGGGTGGTGAAAACTGGGTGTCTCCGCAGGGGATGTCTATGGTTTGGATCTAGGTTAGGGGACGTAAAGGCTGGGAGACTTCCATCAACAGTCATACTTACCCTCCGCAAAACAAGCATGGAAGCGAATTTAGCATTCTGCTTCCAGGACAGTAGCCCCCTGCGGGCTTCCATGTTTCTTGGGAGGAAGGTTAAGAGGGAGTGGAGGAGGGAAGATAGGTATATGCTATGATGGGGTGTAGGGCTTGTGGTGGAAGGGGCCCTAAAGGCTAAACATATAGGTACTAATGGTACAGACACCATATACAACTTTGAAAGGGGCTTCATACGGTCCAGCCAAGAGCAAGAGATCATTGGAGGAAATATGGTTGATGTTAAAAGTCCGGCATGACCTTTGCATACCAAGCTCCCGCAAATTGCCAATGTTTATGGGTAGCAAGGGGTTATTCAGGATTTTTGGTGTCAGCCGCAACCCAAGGAACCAGTGTACTACACTATATACTGATGGTCAAGCAAGAATTTGTTGTATACCGTGTTCTAGCATGCCGAAAGGGGCTTTGTAGCCATATACGGAGACCCCGCAGTAGCAATATGGGAGGCACTCTGGCCCCTAGGTATATACTACATACCCTAAACACCCAACCATAAACCCAATCAAAAAAAGGAAAAACCTATATCTTTACGCGCATTTAGTTCGTGTACTTACATAGACCCTTCAGGAGTAGGATCATGCAGGATTTCTTGTATCAACCGTAGTGCAGGAACACGGATGATGCTGCGTAACGGAGACAGAGGAAGATAAACCAACTCCATGCTTGCATAGGAGTATATACAGATATGCGAGCTGCAGTCTAACCTCCTTAACGGGGGGTCGTATTGAAGAGTATTATACGGGGTACTCGGGGGATACTAGGAGTTCAGACTATAACTCATGTACGGATATAGGAATATATAGGTTTTAGGGATTCGGGATGAGGGTTTAGGGCTTGGCTAAGGCTTGCCTAGAGTGACCCTAAACCTTCAAACCTAAACCCATGGAACAAGAGGCACAGCCCATGGGATTCTTTTCAAAGGTGCATAGTGCATGGGCTGCCCACTCGCCTTCACTGTGTCAAAAGTACCACCACCGCCTCCCACATGGAGGTATTCAAAAAAGGGGTCCGCTGTAAGGAGTCCTCGAAAAGTAGGCGTATGTACTATTTCGGGGGTACATCGGGGACCCTTGTTTTGGAAGTAACCAAGTTGTATATGACGCTGGACGCTAGGCTCAAAACTATAGCGGACGCACTTTTGGGAAGATCTAGATAGGTTGCCCTAAACCCTCTAAACTTCATGAATTTCAGTGTGCCGCGCGACCGGTGGTGCAGTGGTCAGATACATTGAGCAGAGCGTGGCAGTGGCTCAAGGTACAAACTCAAAGCACAGCTTTCCAAGGATGCGCCACCGTCCTCTGAATAGTAACCATTGTCATGATAAGCAGTACATAGCTAGTAGTACTAGCAACACAAAACACGAATACCAACAGTGAGAAGAACACTTCATTTCCCGCCTAACATATGTTCACCGCGCTTCACCCAAAAGAACCTGGCGGATATGGCAAATGCTCTTGCCAGAGCTCAGCTTCACAAATATCCCCTGCCCTTGAGGGTCCATGTGCATAGTTGCCCCAAATCTGCAGTACAATCCCTACTACCCAAATCCCAAGTACTCCATGATTGGTATTTCGACCTTTCGCGCTCCATAAGCAACCTTAGGTGCCTAGCGACCGGGATGGTGACTGTGTGGAAGCCTTCGGGGGACACATTGGATGTGATTCCCCTGGAGGAGGTCGGCAACGTCGGAACGCTCAAGCAATATCTCAAAAACATTTGTGGGTTGCCACGATTTAGACAGTGCATCCTTCGGGAGGGCAACGTTCTCGAAGATGGCTTCACTTTCGACTCTCCAATAGATGTGCAGCTAGTTCTGCTGACTTTCTCTGACGCCTCTGAGATGGAGGTCTTGGAGCTCATGCAAGCCACGCAGTATGGTGCAGTGGGTACCGTGGAGATGATACTGAGGCGACCTCAGGATCCAAATCTACCTGCCAAGGACGGAGACTTGCCACTCAACCAGGCAGCATTTTATGGCCACAAGGATGTGATGATGTTGTTGCTTGAAGCCAAGGCAAACCTGTGCAAGGCAGGCGCAGATGACGAGTCGGCCCTTCACTGTGCTGCTGGACGTGGGATGCTGGACATTGCGCAGCTGCTCTTGGAGGAAGGTGCTAGCAAAGACTGCCGCGACAGCGAGGGTTTTACTCCGCTGCTTCGAGCAGCCAATGAGTGCAACACAGAGATAGTTCGCCTGCTCACAGACTGGCGGGCTTCAGTGAACATTCCCTCCAATACAGGCCACGCAGCACTCATGTGCGCCTCTGCCTGGAACAGCCCAGAAGTCGTCCACATGCTGTTAGAAGCGAGTGCAGCGCTGGACTGCGCGGACTGCCAGGGCTGCACAGCTCTTCACCATGCTTCACAAAATGGGCACACACAGCTTGCGCTCACTTTGCTGGAGACAAGGGCCATGCTGGGCCTGAAGGACAACGAAGGAGCAACAGCCCTGCACTCTGCGTGTGCAAACGGGTATGCGGAGACAGCCAGCATGTTGTTGGAGGCAAAGGCCGCCCTTGACGTCCTCGACAACTCTGGCTACACCGCTCTGTCACGCGCGCTCGTTCAAGGACCACAGTCAGAGATTTTGAGGATCCTACTGCGCGCCAGGGCGCTTCCAAAGCACAAAGGGCCCGTGAACACAAGGTGGTTCGGCCTGCCTACCCTGACCTACGATGAACCGCAACTGCACATTTGTGGCAACATGCTTGTGGGCAGTGTGGATTCAGGGTTGCCGTCTGTGCTCTTACTGCGCTGAGTTGCAGACTAGCGAGGATCCAGATGCAGGTTGCAAAAAATCTGTGCATCCCCAAGGGCTCAGGTACCCCATAGTTGGGTACTTGGGGCTCCATGAGTAGTGCCAGTAATTGTGATGGAGGTTTGAGACCGTTGGGGGATGCAAGTTGAGATGCCCGTCCACCCAATCATCACCTGCGGATGCCAGACCACAAATTCCAAGGGTCCATGTAGGTATAATATAGCATATGCATATTATATATATATATTACACAAGATCTAGAAATTCAGGGTTCAGGCTAAAACATTTAGGGTTTATTTAGTACATCTTAATATGGTAGTTTCCCAAAATAGGGGGACCCCAATATAGACCCCAATATACTATAGTCCTTATTATGGGAACCCTCAAAATGGTACCCCTTATTTTGGGAAATCCCCATATATACCCAGGGCCCCAGGCTTCAAAGGGTTCCCGTAGAACTACTTTCGGGGCGTAAGCATGCACTACATGGCTAAATGAGCTATAGTCTAAACTCCTTAAAGGGGTTCTATAAGGGATTANNGAGTGTAGACTATGGCTCAAATGAACCCTCTGGGTAATGTTCCCTGAAGGACACTAGGATCGTTCATTCGATTTTAACATTCCTTGTGATGGGTCTTGTTTAGGACTTAAGGTTTAGGGCTACGGGTTTAGGCTTCAGGGCAATGGAGCTGGGATATATATATATATATAG